GCCAAAGGCGGAGCTAGTTGTTTCGGCCGAACCCAGTAGCTTTGATCCAAACTATGTATTTGTCTTAAGAAATCTATTAAATATTTACAAATTATTAGTTTAGAACTCAATAGCTAAAACAGATATAATACCGAGCCCATTAGCTTCAATTTCTGACTCCGCCTCTATTTGCCCGCCTCTTGCACAAAGTAGTAGTTGGCATGGCAGAGCTCTGCATATATTTACAGAAAATCATAGACTCTATCTTTGTGTTTGTTCTTTGTTGCTCCAATCGATTTGTACACATTATATGTGTGTGTGTTTGAGTGTCAGGTGTTTGTCCTAATTTTCATATCATATTTGATTTTCCTATCTGTTGAAGGAAAGGTCAAACATATTTATCATAATTGAGTTTTCCTTTTCTGAGAAAAAAATTATAAATATCTCATATTTGGCTAGTCCTTTTTCTTGGAGGAAAAGGTTTTAGACTTCTATAAATTGAGGATCCTTCCTTCTCATTGAGTAGCATCCACAATGTAGCCATATGGGGTTTGAGAGTCTTGTTTAGGGGGAAAACTTTTCGGGACAAGTGTTAGTGTGTCACTTGTGTTTGTCTTTTCGTGAGGTTGTTCTCTCAATATTTTTGTACTCGCTTTTATATAGTGGATTGCTCATCTTCGTCGTGGACGTAGGTCAATTGACCGAATCACGTTAAATGTTTGTGTCTTGTTTGGTATATTTCTCTTTTGTAATCAGATTTATCGTCGTTCAAGATTTATTTTACTAATTTTCGCATGTCCCGTGATTATTTCGATCCTAATATTGAGTTTATGCTATGTATGTACATATTGTCACAAAAAAGTAGTGGTTGCATGATCCTCTGCACCCTTTTCTGTAAAATCATGGATCTTGACTTTTTCTTGAAATCAGTTGAGCACATTCAATTAATCTCTTTGTCCTTTGGAAATTCTAACTAACAAAAGCAAAATTTTATTTTAGGTGGAGTAGTTGGAATCATTTTGGCTGCAACATTGATGAGAAAGTCATAAGAGAAACTGGTAAGTTTTAAGTACTGCACTAAGTGGTTTCTCTCTTTTTGTTTGCATTACCTAATCAACAAATTCATATTCAGCTATATGTAATGTTGAAATTTCTTTTGGTTGACAGCTGATGCCCTGGTTTCAACTGGTCTTGATAAGCTGGGGTATAAGTATGTCAATATAGGTATGTCCTCAACTAAAGGTGGATCCAAGATTTAAAAGCAGACGAGAAATTTCCTAATATATATATAAATTATGTGACCAGGAGGTCACGGATTCGAGCCGTGGAAACAGTCTCTTGCAGAAATGCATGGTAATGTTGCGTACAATAGACCTTTGTGGTCCGGTCCTTCTCTGGATCCCGCGCATAGCGGGAGCTTAGTGCACCGAGCTGCCCTTTATTAAACTTTTTTCTAAATTTTCTATATACTTACACAATCCGTGTCCAAAATAGCACCCACTGCTTATATGCTAGATCTGCCTCTGCATTTGATTCTGCTGTCTGCAGCTACTTCCCTTAGTTATTAACATTGCTAAAACCGTGTGTACGAACCTTTTCCTTATAGATGATTGCTGGGCTGAACCTCAACGCGATGATCAGGTACTTTTGTCTTAACTGGAAATTTTTGCTTGACCTTACTGCATTCCTTACTAGTTTCTTTGCTTACGAAATCCAAATTCCAGGGAAATTTTGCACCTAAGAATTCCACATTTCCTTCTGGAATGAAAGCTCTAGCTGACTATGTTCACAGTAAAGGTCTTAAGCTTGGAATCTACTCAGATGCAGGGTAACTTGAACTTGCACATAACATTCATTTTAAAAATATAACCTATTTGATCGCGAGATTTTATTTTGTTCTGCAGGTATTATACTTGCAGCAAGAAAATGCCTGGTTCACTTGGTCATGAGGAACAAGATGCAAAAACTTTTGCAGCATGGGTAAGTACAAGGTTCTTGATTAATCTTGACAATTAACCATAAAACAATTCGAACATAGTTGTGAATAACGACATCTTCATTCAGGGTATTGATTATTTGAAGTATGATAATTGCAACCATGATGGAACAAAGCCTACTGTGCGGTAAATATTTGGTGTTCTGTTCAACTCGTGAAATCATGTGTGACAGATTCCACTCATGTGTTCTTTTCTTGATGAGGGATCCTTTTCTTGTGTAGATATCCTGTAATGACAAGAGCTCTAATGAACGCTGGACGGCCTATCTTCTTTAGTCTTTGTGAATGGTGACAACTACTTTTTCCCTAATAAGACCTTACACTTATGCTTTCTTCCTGTGTCTCTCATTTTGACATTATTGTAATGACCACATGTGCCTATTTATTTCAAATAGGGGCGACTTGCATCCGGCATTGTGGGGTGGCAAAGTAGGTAATAGCTGGAGAAACACAAACGATATCTCTGATACATGGGAAAGGTAATGGTTAAATAGGTTTTTAAATGGACAGATTTCATGACTTGGTCTAGTATTCATCTTTCCTTCTTCGACAGCATGATATCTAGAGCAGACCAGAATGAAGTTTATGCAGACCTTGCAAGGCCTGGTGGCTGGAATGGTTAGTATTTAGATACTTTTTATTTTGTCTTAAAACTCTATATTCTTATTGTTGAAGTGTGTGACCATCTCATCTAAAAGTTTAGCTGTTAAAGAGAGCAGATAATTACTTAATTATATTATGTCTCAGCATGCTTTCTCTCGTGTGGTTCGATTCTTTTTCATGGACCAAACATGTGGAAATATTCTTTTGCTTTTGAGTGGCCATGAGATTTAAACCTATGACCTTTTGCATACTCCGATACCATGTTGAAGTGTGACCATCACATTTTAAAAGTTTTGTTGTTCAAGCGAACACAATTTTTTTACTTAATTATGTATCCACACTTGCAATTATTTCCAACCAGATCCCGACATGCTTGAGGTGGGAAATGGAGGGATGACAAAGGATGAATACATTGTCCACTTCAGTCTCTGGGCTATTTCAAAGGTAGAGCAACATCTTTCTTAAATGTATATTTCACTTTTTATTAAGGCTATTTGTGCTCCTTGAGGCAAAATGTATGATCCATTCTATGCTAATTATAGGCTCCCCTTATCATTGGTTGTGATGTGAGAAATGTAACAAAGGATACCAAGGAAATACTTGCCAACAAGGAGGTCATTGCTGTAAACCAAGGTACTAAACTGCATAATATGCTAACAACAACTAGTCATTTGTTATAATTTATTCGCGATAACAAAGATAGGAGCTAGATCCTTTCCGTTGTTTTCAAAGGTATTATTAGCAACTCATTCTTTTGCTTTAAACAGATGAATCAGGCGTCCAGGGCAAAAAGGTCAGAATGGAAGGCGATATTGAGGTAAAAAATCTATACATAGTAGAACTTTTTTCCTTGCCGATTTTGCAGATTGCAGACAATAATCTTTTCACATTCTATTACGGCCAGGTATGGGCAGGGCCTTTATCAGGCTATAGAGTAGCTTTAGTGCTTCTCAACCGTGGTCCTCAGAAATATGAAATAACAGCACACTGGGATGACATTGGAATCCCTCCTAACAGCGTCGTAGAGGCAAGAGATCTTTGGGAGGTATGTCTATGTTACAATTCCTAATCTGTCTTTCGAAAGATTTTAGGAAGAATGAGCCCCTAGAGCCGGGGCGGATTTAGGGGGCGGAAGTGGGTACCCGAACCCCTTTGTCGAAAAATTACACGGTATATATAAGGCAAAATCTGTTTTTACCTCTATATATTATATTTTGGATCCCCTTGACACGGTATATATATAAGGCAAAACACGCCCAAAAGCATAGCTTAGTAGGCAAGGGGGTTCAAAACCTTTGTAAGGTCATTGGTCCAAACAAATTCCAGGAAGAATGATTTTCAGTAAAACAGAAAGTTTTGGACTTTTATAAATTCAACAAGAATTATCACACACTTCCAAGAGGGGATTGCTCTAGTGGTAAGCACCCTCCACTTCCAACTAAGAGGTTGTTAGTTCGAGTCACCCCAAGAGCAAGTTGGGGAGTTCTTGGAGGGAGAGAGCCGAGGGTCTCTTGGAAATAGTCTCTCTACCCCATGGTAGGGGTAAGGTCAGCGTACACACTATCCTCTTCAGACCCCACTAGTGGGATTATACTGGGTTGTTGTTGTTGTTGTTGTAACAAGAATTATCATACACATCAAATCAGACAAGTTCCCTTAAAACTTAGTCAAGTATAAAAGCTCCAAGTTCCCTTAAAACTTAGTCAAGTATAATAGCTCCAAGACTTACTATAGATTGACACTTTCTGGATGAACTTTTATATTCGATCAACTATATATATATATAACCAAATACTTTATCTGTATAGATTAGACTTACCAATGTCCGAAGGGCACATATGACATGGATATACAACTTGAACATACTCTTGATTGATATATACCTCCATATAATACTCAGCCAGATCCATAAAATAGTATACATTATACTCAGCCAGATCAATAAAGTAAAAAAATCTTTACTGTTATTCACTCATTGATTGCTAGCCCTTTTACTCATTATGGAAATAATTTGGCATATTCTTGTTGCAAAATGACATGGATGCAATTTTGAGATGCAGCACAAGACATTGAAGACACGATTTGAAGAGAATTTGACAGCTACAGTGAACTCTCATGCGTGCAAGATGTATGTATTGAAGCCTATTGCTTCATGAGGATTCAGAGAATGGTTGGCACCAGACTTCTTAGTCTCTTTCTCTCAATTTGTTATGCTTAATACAAAAATAAACTAGTCATTTGTCAAATGTAGACCAAGAATTAATTATACATCATTAAAGAGATGGGATGCAAAGTCCTCTCATTATGTTTGAGTTTTCTATGCCTATATATTGCTATCTGATTTTGGTTCTCAACTTCAGTTCCACATCCTATTAATGAATGTATATTTGACCCGAGTCATGTATGTGTACATGATTCTGGAATGCATAAAATATCGTCATATGCAGGAAGACATAAGCCATTAGTTGCAGGGGCGAGCAAAGAGTTGAGATTTATGAGTTCGTCGAACGCAATAGTTTCAGTTCAAATCCTGTATTTGTCTTGAAAAACTCATGTATGTGTACAAATTGATGATTTAGAACCCAATAACATAAAAGGGTTAGAATTTCGAACCTTTAAGTTTCAAATCATAGCTCAGGTTTAGTTGTGTAAGGTAGAGTGCAACCACTACAAACGTAGCTTTGTCAAAGTGATGCGCTAGTAACCTATTTCTCTTTTATATGAAGCCAGTTACCTTTATTCTTTTAGGTACACACAGAGCCAGAGCAAATACTACTTGACATCCTAATGCACATTCAAGGAGGTTAAAATTTTAAGTAATTAAAGATGAATTCCAAACAAGTAACTTTTGATTTAAAAAAATTGAAAAGATGTTTAATGAATTGCGTTACAAAGAAGTGATTTCGGTCTTTTGAGAATTATCCTCATGTGAACGTGCATGTAAACACGAGTATTGTTAGGGACAAGACAAAAACTGATTTCTTCTCCATTTGTTTACGTTTCGATAAACATAGTGACTTTATCCACTGTGCCTAACGGCTCTCTGCCACCACCGGTGACAAGCCAAGCTCCGGCACCGGCGTTAGCCATTCCCGTCAGGTAAGTTCTCGCTCTCTACCCCCTCCTTTCTCTCTCTCATCCCCCTCTCTCCTTCCTCTACTATCTCCACCATATCCCTTTCTCCACCCGCTTTCCCTCCTACGCCGGCGGCTTGCACAGAGCCGGTGACTGTCATCCCCCCTCTTTTATATCCCCCTCTCTTCCTCTCTCTCTCTCTCTCTTTCCCCCTCCCCCTCTTTTACATCCCCCCTCTTTTACTGTACACACTCGCAACAGTCGTCTCTTCAGAAGTTCCCTGTCCCACAACTTTTCAGCCGGCTCCGGCGAGCAACAGCCATTACGTCCAACTGTCCGGTGACCTTTTCCGGCGATTGTCTTGAAGAAGTGGCAGCAAAGGCGGCAAATATCCAGATTTTTCTGTCGGGAGTTGGTACCTCCTGCCTCACTCTCTATCTTCGTTGTATGAGTTAAATTGGTGACATTTCGGTCGCATTAGTATAATCATAATATCTGTGTGCATGTAGTTACCGATCATTTTCTTCTAGATTGGCCTTTTGCCTATTTTTGGGTTAGCGATTTTCCCTAGTCTGATGTAGGTATAGTGGCTGAGGTATGGGATGGTAGAGTAAGGTCATGTTCNGCTTGTGTCCAGGAGACTAGGTGGGTAGGATCGAGGGCGAGGGATGCGGACGGGTATAAGTTGTGGTACTCTGGAGTCACGAAGGGTAAGAATAGAGTGGGTATTTTGGTGGACAGGGAGCTTCGAGAGTCGGTGGTAGAGGTCAGGCGAATGAGTGATAGATTAATGACTATTAAGCTAGTGGTTGGGGAGTGCACTCTAAATGTAATTAGCACTTACGCACCGCATGCAGGCTTGGATGAGGAGGTCAAAAGGCGCTTTTGGGAAGGGTTGGATGAGGTCGTGCGTAGTATCCCGTTTGCTGAGAGGTTATTTATAGGAGGAGAATTCAATGGTCATATTGGGTCGACTTATGATGGCTATGGCGTGGTGCATGGAGGCTTTGGCTTTAGGGTTAGGAATGGAGGAGGTACTTCGTTGTTGGATTTTGCGGAGGCATTTGAGCTGGTGATTGCAAACTCTAATTTTCCGAAGAGGGAGGAGCATTTAGTTACTTTCCAAAGTACAGTGGCGAGGACCCAGGTTGACTACATCCTCCTAAGAAGGTGTGATAGAGGGTTGTGTAAGAACTGCAAGCTTATACCGGGGGAGACTCTCGCGACGTAGCATAGGCTCTTGGTGATGGACATCTGGATCGTGATTAAGAGAAAGAAGAGATCAGCACGAGGACGGTCGAGGATCGGGTGGGGAGCCTTGACTAAGGATAAAGCTCAGGAATTGGAGAGGAGGTTGTCGACAGTAGGAACCTGGAGGAGTAACGGGGACGCGAGTGCTATGTGGCCGACGACGGCGGACTGTATTAGGGAGGCGGCAAAAGAGGTGTTAGGGGTCTCGAAAGGTTACACTGACAGGCATAAAGGCGATTGGTGGTGGAATGAAGTGGTCCAAGGCAAAGTGGAAGAGAAGAAGGCGGCGTACCTGAGGTTAGTAGGGAGAACTGACGGGGAGGAGAGGAGAACGAACATAGAGAGGTATAAGGTAGCTAGGAGGGAGGCGAAGTTGGCGGTCACGGAGGCTAAGACTGATGTGTTTGCTTGTCTGTACGAGGAACTGGGGGACAAAGGCGGGGATAAAAAGCTCTTCCGATTGGCCAAGGCAAGAGAGAGGAAGACTCGGGATCTGGACCAAGTGAGATACATCAGATATGAAGGCGGCAGAGTATTGATAGGGGAGGCACAAATTAAGAGGAGATGGCAGACTTACTTTCATAGACTTATGAATGAAGATGGAGACAGGGATATAGTGCTAGGTGTATTGGGACATTCCATGAGTCACCGAGACTTTGGGTACTGTAGACGCATTAGGGTTGAGGAGGTCGTGGGGGCTATGCATAAGATGAGTAGGGGTAGAGCAACCGGACCAGACGAAATTCCGGTTGAATTTTGGAGGAGCGTGGGTAGAGCAGGTTTGAGTGGCTGACTAGGCTATTCAATATTATTTTTAGGACGAAGAGGATGCCGGATGAGTGGAGGTGGAGAACGATGGTACCGTTGTACAAGAACAAAGGTGATATTCAGAATTCTAACAACTATATGGGTATTAAGTTACTAAGTCATACCATGAAAGTTTGGGAGAGGGTGGTGGAAAAGAGGGTGAGGAGAACTATGTCTGTATCTGATAACCAGTTCGGGTTCATGCCGGGTCGTTCAACTACGGAGGCTATCCACCTTATTAGAAGGTTGGTGGAACATTACAGGGATAGGAAGAAGGATCTGCATATGATGTTTATTGACCTGGAGAAAGCATATGACAAGGTACCTAGGGAGGTTCTTTGGAGATGCCTGGAGGCGAAAGGTATGTCAGTTGCTTACATTAGGGCGATTAAAGACATGTATGAGGGAGCTAAGGCACGGGTTAGGACGGTGGGAGGTGACTCAGAGCATTTTTTGGCTGTTATGGGGTTGCACCAAGGATCTGCGCTTAGCTCATTTTTATTTGCCCTGGTGATGGACGCACTGACGCACCATATTCAAGGAAGGTGCCATGGTGTATGTTATTCGCTGACTACATAGTTCTGATTGATGAGACGCGAGACGGCGTTAACTAGAGGCTAGAGATTTGGAGACAGGCCCTTGAGTCTAAAGATTTCAAGTTTAGCAAAACTAAGACAGAATACCTAGAGTGCAAGTTCAGCATCGAGTCGAGGGAAGTGGGTGTGGACGTGATGCTTGAATCACAGGTCATCCCCAAGAGAAGCAGTTTCAAGTACCTTGGGTCGGTTATACATGGGGATGGGGAGATCGACAAAGATGTTGCGCACCGTATAGGGGTGGGGTGGATGAAGTGGAGGTTAGCATATGGAGTCCTATATGACAAGAAAATGTCACTGAGGCTCAAAGGTAAGTTCTATAGAGTGGTGGTTAGACCAGCCATATTGTATGAGGCAGAGTGTTGGCCGGTTAAGAAACCACATATTCAGAGGATGAAACTAGCAGAAATGAGGATGTTGAGGTGGATGTGCGGGCACACTAGAATGGATAAGATTATGAATGAAGATATTCGGGAGAAGGTGGGCGTGGCCCCGATGGATAACAAGATGCGGGAAGCTAGGCTCAGATGGTTCGGGAACGTGCGGAGGAGAAGTTCAAACTCCCCAGTAAGGAGGTGTGAGCGGTTGGCTTTGACAAGTATAAGAAGAGGTAGAGGGCGGCCCAAGAAGTATTGGGGAGAGGTGATCAGGCAGGACATGGCAAGGCTTCAGATTTCCGAGGACATGGCCCTTGATAAGAAAGTGTGGAGGTCTAGCATTATGGTTGTAGGATAGTGGTAGCAGAGCTCTTTGCTACTCTGCACCGGTGAGAGGCTAGTCTAACAGGGTTGTGTCCTAGAGTGCTAGTGGTCATTATTGTGTCCACACTTCTCTTTCACTTTTTATAGTTCCGAGCCTTTCTTTCGTGCTATTGTTATTATTTTTCATCTATTTTTTAGTACTTTTGATTCTGTTATTATTTTTATGCTTTCTGCGGTTGCTACTGATATATTATTTTTTTCGTCTGCTTGAGCCGAGGGTCTATCGAAAACAGCATCTCTACCCCTTGGGGTAGGGGTAAGGTCTGCGTATACTCTACCACCCCACTTGTGAAATTTTACTGGGTTGTTGTTGTTGTTGTGAACGTACATGTAACAGAAAAGGTAGTTATTATGACAAGAAATTACCCTCATAACAAAAAATAATTTTTATACTATCGGGTTATTATCCTGAGCTGTAACTCCAGGAAATGCAACCTACTGTGCATTCTATATGACCTACCTAACCATAACTCAGTGGAAACGTAAAGTTGACAGTGTGGCATGGTGCAGCTTAGTGGTTAGTAAAGTTGTATATTAAGTAGGGGTGTTCAAATTGAATCGAAAAATCTCACCAAACCGAAAAGTCAAATCAAACAGATTAAAAAACCCGACTAGGATTGGTTTGATTTGGTTTGGTATTGAGTTAAAAAATCTGAACCAAACCGACATATGAATATATAATTTTTATATATACTTTTAAGACTTTATATTGAATTTTCTTTAAAAAATATAGAAATATTTGAGATCATCTCATGGGATGTAGTATTAATTTTTTAGACAACAAAGAAAATAATTATCATGTGTTACTAAAATAATTCTCCCATAATAATATTTTAATAGATCATATTCATATGTTTGTCAATTTTTAAAATTTTTACTAAGCATATATTCACTTATCAAAATTTTAATTATAACTTTAACAAAGTAAGATTGAAAAATATTCATGTAACAAAAAAAAATAAAATGCATAAACGGCCCCTTTAAGTTGTCCCTAACAATCATTTGAACACCTCAACTAAGGCTTTTTTTATTTAAACATGCCACGTGACTAAAAAGTAAAAAGTGTACTCAATAAACACCCACCCTAGTCTTCCCCCGTCGCGTGTAACACACATTCGAATTCGTGCGTGTATAAGTCATCCCAAAAGTAATAAATGGATTTTTTTGTGAAATTCCAAAAAAAAACCCTTAATGAACTCCCTAATTTAAATTCCCAAACCCAACCCTAAATATTCATTTCACTTCTCTCACCATCTCCAGTTATCTATCTTCTTCCTTCCTTTGAAGAAAATTATTTTTTCTTTTTTTATCCCTCTCTACTTCTTCTATTTCAATGGATCCTGCTGTTAATTGCAAATGTAGCCAAATTGTTCCTTTAAAACTTTTGTGGTCACCATTTAATCTAGGTAGAAGATTATATAGTTGTAGATTTGGGAAAGTTGCCGATGGTGGATGCGATTTTCTTCGTTGGTACGATGTTGAATTGTTTGAACACTATACCAAAGTCATGTATGGATTATTAAAGAGGGTAAAAAATCATTAAGAAGAAAAGTCAAAGATGATGAAGAAACAAAGGAAATTGATGTGGTTGCTTATAATTATAATTGTGGCCTGGTTTTTGAGGGAATTTTCTATTATTTAGGTATATGGTATATTCATATGGGCATGTAACCCCATTTGTTTTACTGCAATATTATTGTTGATTTATGGCCCATGTTTCCTATTCAATGTACTTCAAATTTACAATATGTATGATGAAGTTTTAAATGATCAAATGTGTTTCAATTTCTGCAAAAAAATTATACTGCCAATATCATAATAGCAACGGTGGATTAATCTAAAAAATTGGACTAACAAAAGCTGAATCATATTACATCCCATACGAAAGTAAGGTTCATACATATGACCAAATGACCAACATAAGTAGGTTCAAATTACTTCACAAAATAAGGTTTATACACGTGACCAACCAAATACAAGAAACTTCTTCCTAAATTTGACTTTGACAAGAGTCAACTGGTATAGATGAAGTAGAGGTTCCATCTTTCATCTTTTTATTGGAAACTACATCATCTCTTTTCTTTTGAAGCTAATTCCCTGTGACAGCTCTATTCCCTTTCCGCTTAAGACCATTTGGTTTAAATCCAAGATCTACATTAGTTTGTGCAGCATTCATCAAGTATGCATTGGCTGAAATAAGTCTTTCACTTGACCTACCAGGCTAGAAAATGCAGCTAGTTAGTATTGAATAATGCAGAAGCTAACAAAAAAATACAATACTTCTCACACTTATATTAAGGATACTAGTTCTTATATGTGTACAAACCAAAACAAACATTTCTGGTCCTTTTCTTTCCAATAGAAGCAACAAGTGATCTGGCAGCAGCAGAAATAGATGCACCAATTGCAGATCCGGGTAGGTTGAAATTTCCCCTACCAGCTCTTCCACCTCTTCCCCTACCATCTCCTCCAGTCCTCCACCTTTTCCTCTACCACCACTTCCTACAGTTCCTCTACCTTTTCCTGACGGTGTGTTCCTTCTTATTTTTTATGTTGTAGCACACAAGAAAGATGGAGCCATTGAAGTTTGGGTTGTGGTAATTGATGTACCTGCAGGTTGGGTTGTATAACTTGGACTACCAACTTGTGTGCTTGATTTGGTTGTTCTATTTGACCTTCCAGCTTGTGTGCTTGATTGTCCCTAGTATAAAGTGACAAGTCATTAATCAAGTACTATGAAAACTATGAAATTAAATTAAAATAGAAGTCATCAAACTTACCCTTAAACTGCATACTGACTTGTTATGACCAACTTAATGGCAAATAGAACATGATATCTTAGCACCCTTCTTTGGTAGTTTTTTCCACTTCTTTGGTTCATCTTTGTCCTTTCTTCTGAAGTTTTTGGCCTACTAGGCATTGGTTTAACCTCAGGAGGCTCATTGATGGATTGGTAGTCTCATGCCATATTTGCAGACTTCGAATTGGCTGAATATAGTACTGGTAAGCAGCCAGAAAAGTGTCTTTCCTATACCAGCATTCAATATAGTCTTCTGGCTCATTCCCAATCTTATAAAATGCACATATTGCATGTTGACAAGGTATACCTCTTAACTGCCATAATCTGCAGTTGCATTCTCTTTTTTATATATCAACAGTGTGTCTATAGATGCCTTCATGTACTTCAAATCCAGTGTGAGCATTCCAGTGAACTTTCAACTTCCTTCTTATTCTCTTGTTTTCCTCTATAACTAGTCTTGCCATAGATGATATACCAGAAGCCCATGTATCAACAAACTTGATCATATCAACTTGCCTAATTATCATTTTGTGCGTAATTTCTTCAAACATAGTTATCACAGATTTATGCCTAGGACTTAATATCCAGGAATTAAATATTTCGCACATGTTATTTTCTACAATATCACATCTAACCTTCTCATTGAAATATGCCCTACACCAATATTTTTTATCATAGGACAATAAACTTTCACAAATACAATTTCCTAATTCATCCAATTTCTTCTCTTAACTTTACCTTAAAAGGAGTCTTAGCACATCTCCAAAACTGCTTTCTTCTCTCCTTTCTCCTCCATGATTTCAGCCAGTTTGTTCAAATGTGTCTTGCACATATTCTTCTTTCAGCAGCAGGTAGCAAATCAGCAACATCATATGACAGTCCCTATATTAGAAGACAAAGTAATGAAAGATAATAATAATATTAACTTAACAAAGCAAATAAATAACTTAATAAATGGATTCCAATACCTTTTGCATGTCAGACATGACCGTTAAATCTTCATTATTCCTCAATACCAAGTCTGTTTTGACATAGTTGATGGACTAACTCCACGAATGTGCAGTCTTTTTATCTACCAAAGCCCAAACAATGGAATACATCTGATTATTTCTATTTTTCACAGCATCCACTAATAATTCACCTTTGCAAGCTCCCTTTAGGAAACAACCATCAAAACCTATGATTCTTCTACAACCTGCCATCCATCCCTTCTTCATAGCCTCAAAGCATACATAAAAATATTTAAACAGATGCTTCCCAGGAATTATTTCTGTATCAATTCTCACCCAACATGAACTTCCAGGATTGGTGGATTTAATCATGTCAGCATAGTCCAGCAACCTTGAAAACTCAAGGTTCCAGTCACTCATAAACTGGCTAATAACCTTCATTTAGGCTCTATAAATAAGTGATCTTCCTACATACAAACCCCACTTAACCCTTATAACCTCTTGCAACTCATGTACTGTGATGTTTGGAGTTGAGATGATTCTATCTTGGAGCTTTCTTGCAATATACTTGGTTGTGCAAAGCTTGTTCTTGTTCTTTATTGGGTATTTGTGGACAGGTATATATCTCTTCACAGTAAAGTTCCCTGAATTATTATCCTTACTAGCAAATATGTGCCACTTGCACTTTTCATGGTTACACTTAACTCTTACTCTATATTGAATAGCATAGTCAGCAATAGATTTTCTAAAATCTTTCTCATTAGGTCTAAGCTTTAAAGACACTTTATATTGAATAGCATAGTCAGCAATAGCTTTTCTAAAATCTTCTACATTATCAAAGATCATGCCTAACTGAAATAGAGGAATTTTAGCATCAAAGTCATACCTAATCTTTTGACTTCGTTTTCTAGAAGGAAGATCGGCATCAGGTTCACCAAGTGGGTCTAACTCTTCATCACTGTCTACACTCCCAACATCTGAGTTTTTCAAGTAATCTTCATCTCCACCTAGCTTTCCAACATATTTATCCTTCTTATTTATCCCTATATCTTTAAACCCATTATCAATTCCAGCCTCACCAAGAATTACCTCTTCTGTTAAAATAGGTTTTCTCCTCTGTTTTCTCTTACTTTGTAATCCAGCATCATTCATATTCTTCTTCAGCCTATTCCTTTTTACTTCCCTGACAACATTCCTTACAGATCTTAACTCATCATCTATCTCACTGTCATCTTCACAAAAAATTTTATCTTCAGACATATTTGTATATGTTTCATTATTGTTGTCATGTTAACCCTATTTGTTATGCATTTACACCACTACCCTCCGTCATATTTACTCCTATATCCTCAACCATACTTATACCAATACCATCGTTAACATTTATTCCAATACCCCCATCAACAATTATATTAATACCCTCAACAGTATTTACACCAACGCCTTCATCAACATTTACACCAACGCCCTCATCAACATTTACACCAATTCCCTCACCAAACATGTACACTAACCCCTGGACCACCCCTAATTTCCGGATTAGTTGTAGCTTGGTCACTATCACCAACCTGTGAGCAAGGTAAATATCCCACAGGAACCTCATCCTCTGCAATCTCTAAATTATCTATCACATAACTTACGTAGACATCAAAAGTATCCTCATCATTCAAGTCTTTTATCAAATTTATTAGTTGATAGTCATTTTCAATTGGAAAGAATTTTTGAGTTTTAGGGCATTGAACAGAGAACCCACCAACTGAATTGTAGCGCACTTCAGGGGTTTCTTTTGTGTAAGACTGAATCTCGGTCAAAAAGAAATGATCTTCACTGTCAAAAGACAACCAATATATTCGTTCGAAAGACAACCAATATCCCGCTCCCCCACATACTTTCCATCAATAAAGTTACCCCCCGAAAGACAACCAATATATTCGTCCATATGACTCGATACTGAAAAAGACAAAAGAAAACCAGTGAATATTCCCTAACCTTTTCACTTTTCTAGGAGAAAAAAAATAAATCTAATAGCACCATAACAGACAAATAGCAATAAAATACAAAATTACATAATCTAAGTATAAAATAACATACCTTTATGCAGTAATCGAAGTCACTACAGCCAACTCCCTTTCTCACAGAAACTTCACTGTCAAAACCCTAGAACAACCTTCAGAGCCAACAATCAAATTCGAACAAACCACATTTAACCCTACTTGTATATGAAAGGAATGTTGAATTTTGCAACAAAAAAGCCGATTAAACCAAGCTTAATCGAAGAGATGAAGTAGGGTGGCATCAGGTGAGAGAGAGAGACTTCAGGTGTGGGAATGAGACAGGCGGATTTTTCGATGAAAATAACCCTTGTGTTTGTCGTTTTTAATTAGACGCCTTTTAATTAATTATTTCTTATAGTTTATCCATGTGTCAGCTTTTAATTCGTTCTTATAATATACACCGGAGGTGTGTTACAACAGACTAGGTCAGGTTTTTATTGAGTACACTTTTTAGTCATGTAAAATGTTTAAATGATAAATGACTCAGTTGAGGTGTTCAAATGATCGTTATGGACAACTTAAAGGGGCCGTTTACATATTTCACCAACAAAAAAATCTGAAAAACCCGACGAAACCGAACCAATCCCGGTATAATTGGTTTGATTTGATTTTGATAAAATCCGAACTAACCCGGTCCATGTATACCCCTAAATTATCAAGATAGATACAAGAATGTCCAGATACAACACAGTTTAGATACCGTCACATATATATCAATCAACGTTGTCTCAATCTCAAACTAGTTGAGTCGGCTATTGTTTAGACACCCTTCCATAATATACTAACTACCACAATTGTACATGACTTCGCTCAAGAAACCTACAATTACAAAGAGTGATGTCTTAGGGTTAGATGAGAATAAGTATGACGGATCCTTCTCCGACAAGCACGTTCATTGGCAACAACATTGAGACCACTAGCAGAGTAGAGCAGGTTAACTATCAATGATCAGTGAAAATGTAAAGAATTAGCAGTCAGTGTTCCATCCTGTGCAGGAATGCAATACACTGAACTCTAGCACGGTAAAATACAAAAGCATGCAGTGCAGGTAGCTTCAGATCTACAAAAGTCGCTCTCGAGTTCAGCAACATCATAGTTACTTCCCGAAAATATTAGATCGCTATTCCATGCAATAATGGTAAACTCATGAAACTTCTTGAAGTGCTAGACTTAGTTCCTGAGCAGATTTGGCAATGGATCCTCCTCTTCTAAATGAAAAAAGGTACAGAAATAGAGATATGTTAGCAATGTAACCTTTCCACGGACCACACAAGTTGCTTAAGATGCTTTGACATACCTAGAAAGAGCAGGCAGATGGTTCTTGACTTTTTCAAGCTCAATAAAGCAGAGATTGCAGCGCTCCATCCTTTTGTTGTCAATAAGCAATAAAACAGTTCAAACTACATCTAGAAAGAACATATAAGTATAACAAAACATGTAATAATACCTTTTCTCCGCCTCAATATCAACACCAACTGATGTTGGAGTAGACAACGAAGTATAAATCAATGAACCAAATACTTTAGCAAGTTTGAGCAGCATGGTCAATGAAATATCTTGATGCCTAAAGGAAGTGCACCAAGAAGCAAACATGTCAATCATGGAAGCTTTTGAACAATGTTAGCTGAAGAAAACGAAAATAAAGCTCATTTAGTTCTACCTATCCAACTTGCTCTGAAGCAGCCCCGTGAGAAGTGGTAATAGGCATGTGCAAATCTCTAATGTGATAACGTCATTTTTCTCAGTTAAGAAGCTCACTAAATCAGCAAGCACCTGTATAAGCATCAGTAAATGGTAAACTTATGGTGTTAAAAAGGTAAGTACTGAGATAAAAAGTAGGGCACAAAAGCAATAGACTTACAGCATTATCTGCCATCTTCTCCAGTGCACTTACTGCCCCTTTAATATCATGTCTTTGCCAGTACTGGTACACAACCTACAAAAGGTCAAAATCTATATCTGATTAAGCGGACTCTTGAAGACCAATATAACATGGTAGAGATCAGCTGAATGAATCCATCCCCCATCCATCTGCACGTCTTAGGGAGGGCGATTAGCAAGAGACCCTGTAAATGAGTAGGCTAAACATTGCATGCAGGTCATCATCTCATGATAATGCAAATCGCTTATAAGGGACACATAAATTAGTTACAAGGGACTGAAAAAGCTTTATAATAGCCAGACACAAATCGGAGCATCATATAACCACGAGTTTTCCAAATTGTTACCTGTAATTTAGCCAAACGAGATTGCAGCGAGCCAACAAATTGGTTGTGCTGTTCCATCAAGTCAGCAATGGTATCCTCATCGGCAGCAACAACCACCTCACTTACAGCTGAAAGGGGATCTTCTCTCTTTTCATGTATGATTATTGAATTACGATGAGTTAAATTCTGTGTCAGGAAAGACATAGATTTACTATTTTCACATAGATGACTTTAATCCTATGACATTCATGAAAGAAACAACTAAATCATGAACATTACGTGGAAAACTTTTTCAGGTATTAACAGTTGTATGTCCAGCAATCACGTGTCCCAACGCATTGTCTATGTAGCCATAGAAGTGCATGTTTATCTATGAGGTCTCCACAACTACTATAATACTGAATGAAATTGCAGTTGCTGTCCAATATTCTTCTCTAATAATAAGGAAATTTGTCAGCAGTAGAGCTACCAACCAAAATGATAGAGATCAAACAAAACATAGGAAAAGGAAGTTCCAATGATGAATTTAGTTTTCCTTTTTCCCTCAATGGTGGCATGCTAGCTGCCCCACCGCCCTTGTGATTCCCGTTTGAATTAACATGTCGTGGGTTCTACCTTTTGCTCTTTCGGTTGGATAAATTAGGAATCGGGTTTCTGATAATTGTTGTTAGGTAGGTGATTTTGCAGCCTTGTTGATTTTATTATTTTATCACTGAGAGCTTTCAAGTATTATGTTGGGCCAAACATTATCTTGCCAAGCCTGGCAGAGTTTTGACTCAGCTTGGCTTAAGCGCACTCCTAACTATCAATGGAAACCCAAGTCTCCCCTGTTCCTGCACTATCCTTGTCCATGATTGTGAAAGAGCTAATATAACTAAAAATAATTCCACAAGTTATATGTGGAAGCAAATCACACTCTGAAAATACTGAAATGCTTCCACATCCTTTGTATAATCATCATTAAATTAAGCAACAAATGGTTAATATTAGTAAAAGGGGAAAATCTCAATATGAAAAAACATTTCGAATAATAAAAAAGCAGAACAACTCAGATTAGACTCATACCATATTGGTTGGAACCACATCCGGATCAGGTACCGTCCTGACAATGGAGGAAGCAAGACCCTCATAATTAGGAACGCTGTCTCTCTTTTCCCAGTTTGCAACAGTAGACCGTGTCCTTCCTAATTTCCAAATTCAACGCAGTGAGACGAGCTTAATTGAGAAGCGCACTAATGGCAGTAAAGAATGTTCTACCTCTTAGTTGACCTTGCATGGAATAAGGATTCCTATTTAGAATATTTCCACGGGCTTCATCTGGAACAGATGGTAAGTTTTACCAACATAGTTAGTTCAAATTATTCTAAAGAAAGGGAAAAAGAAAAATACATTTGTTGGTAAACACAAAACTATGAACACATCTTTTAAGAAATTGTACTGAGTAGAAGAAAGTGAAAATTTATGGGAAAGAACTACAGAAATGAATAAAGCGAAGGATTAAACAAAAAAGTCTTTTCCCTTCCATAGAAATTATGGTGATTGTCAGTTGAAATAGTCAGAAAATAAGAATGGTGCAACTTACCAGTTACCACTAAAGAATGGTGCTAAACTTCTAGATCTAATAGCGGGCATGTAAGTAATTGATACTGAATGGGAAATTATACCTAACAAAATTTCAAAAAGAAAAAAACCACAACACACAAAAACATAGCAGATGAAAAAGATCAAGAAAACGCACAATCTTCAATTTGGTGTCCGGAGAGCGATTCTGGTGCTGTATCCATTTCATGTTTTGTGGAAACTAAATTCTTGTCATCATTCACGTTTCTATCAGTTGCCGCATTTCCAAATATCGAGCATTTAACAAAAGGGAAAATGTTCCTATCTGCAGGACTGCTACTTTCAATAGCCTTAGGTACTTCAACTTCAGACTGCACTGCAGCAGTTGGCCTCCCAAGGTTTTCGTTGGGAGTAGGAGACTTCCAATCAGATACTTTTGGCTGCAATCTTTGTGGCATTTCCCTTCCTGCAACTCCTCCTTTCCTGCGTTCGGGTGCTAGCTCCATTCTTTCATTATTTCTTGGGACAAGAACAGGTATTATCTCTGACTTATTGACAATAAAAGCATTTTCTGTTGCCTGGGCTTTTGCTGAATTCCTCTTTACACCAGTTGTATTAGGAACTGCTCTTGAGCTGATTGGAGGTGCTCTTGGACCAGTACTGAGATTTATTTTTTGTGAGGTGTCAGGAGTATCCGTGATAGCTTCATTCAAAAGATAAGTGAGAGTCAAATATATTGTGGTAGCCAAACTTAGATAAAAGAAGATAATCAAAGGCTAGTAGCTCGAAAATAAGTCGCAAACAGGGAATTAAAGAAGCAGAGTAAAAACTTAAGATAAGGTGTCAAGCTAATAATGTTAGGCAAACATATTAAAAAGGAAGAGCAGCATACTAGTAATAGTAGTAGAATCCTTCTGAAGATCCTTGTTGTGTGACAAAGAAAGTCTTTCAAAATACTTGGATTCTTTCACAGGATCAGAATTTGGGGAACTTAATAGTCTCCCGAAACTTGCATCTGTAGCCTCCTCAGCCGGAGTGGATAAATTCGCTCTCAAATTGGATTTCACTACTGAGTGACCATTTAATCGTGTAGTACTATCCATTGTATATGGTTCAAGACACTGCAAAAGACAAACACGACAAAGTTAGACATTACTTCAAAATCTCAGAAGAAGCAAAACATCAAAAACAATTTCAATGGAAAAAGGTAACACTTACTGAAATATCGACAACCCACACTCCAACACAACTTTGATTGTAAGAACATCCAAGAAGTTTTCCTTCATGAATACTAAGATCAGACAATGTAGACCAGCCAACATCTACTGTATCATGATACCTAATTGGTTCCCACGAGAAAACCTACAAAGAAGGACTACTTTCTTTAGGGGCACGAAATGCCACAATGTATTAAAAAGCTGTTTCAAGGAACAGCAAATGCATGCCTACCTTCAAATTCTCATGTAAACCACAAAGAAGGGTTCTTCCATCAGTATTAAAGGCCATGCAACGCACTCCTGTTGTCTAGATTTGAGATAAAAACAGTAATGTTTGTTATACTGAAAATTCGAACAGTTACCAAGACCCATGAGAAACATTCAGCAGTTATACTGTAATGACAAAAAGAAGATAGAAGAGAAGAACTCAACAAAGATGACTACAAACCTCAGGTCCAGCAGAACCTATGAGTTCAAAAGTTTCAAGGTCCCAAAATTTAACGGTTTTGTCAGCAGAACCTGGTAAGACAAAAACCAGCAACAAATTATAAGGCATCTGACGACTTTGATGATAAGAGATGATGCAGCCCAACTCTCAAGCGACCCTTTTTAATTAATTTGAGCCCTTTCTTCGATCCTCACACACCTACCCCCACCCCGCCCTGAATTTGGTTAGGTTATCAACACTACTAGCCTGCAACTGAAGATGCAGGCTTCCATTACGTGAGCACGTTATAATTTCTCAAAACTTAATATAGCAGTTTTCACGTCTCAGTTCCCCCTCCCTCTTTCTCAACTGCCAATTTAATCACACAAAAAAAAAAAACTGGTAAAACTTAATCTCCAATAATTTGACACTAAAATGTAGATATCACTTTTAAAATGGGCTTCCTGGTATATTTTCAGCAGAACTGCCGCAGGAGAACCTCAAAGCTAAAGAAACTAATCATTAGTTTTAATATTGGGGGAAAGAGTGCTAATGTTCGGATTTCCTTTATTTTGGTTGAAGAAGGAAAACTCAACTATAAGGAAAGAAGAGAGTATTGCTTCATGGGGCAAGCGACGTTTATATGAAAAACATATTGCTAGGTATCATCTCCTCAACGTATATGCACCAAAATGAGACAAAGCATTTCTATATACTTTTTATGTAAATACTTACATAAGAAAACAGATTTCTTATATAAGTAGACAAAGCAGTTCTATAGATAGTACCCCGAGATGGAAATCAACAGATCTGATTGGACAGAAAAGCACTTATACTGGAGATATTAAATACTGGAAGAACGAAAAATATGAAACAAGAATGAGACTAATCACAGTGGATAAACTTATTTGGAGCGTGAAGAATCAGTAGGCAAAACTTATCAAATCTGGTCATAAGTCCAGCTAATGAGTATACTCTTCTCAATTTGTCATTCTTTTTACCTTATCAAAAGAATTGTCATTTCTTTTTCAAAATGTCTGGGTATTTTTCCCTAAGAATATCGGCATGGGAAAAGTTTAGGTAGTCACTAGATTCAAGTTCTACATAGATCATAGCATACATCAGAGAACTCATTTCAAGAATACAACAAAAGTTGCAGGAGGATGTACAAGACCACAAGAAGTATAACCTTCACTTAAACTCCAGATTTCTGGGAAAAGAACAATGTAGCGCTATGTGACTATGTCAAAGCTTTATCTAACCTGTTGCCAGTAAAAATTCATGAGGATGAAAGTCTATGGACCGAATTTGTCCTTCATGACATTTGAAATCATGTAAAAGCTTTCCTGCAGTCAAATCCCATATCTGCCACAACACTAAATCTATTATCAGGATAACCATACTTAAAGAGCTTAAAAGCTGTTACACACCTACTTGATATCAAGCAAACCAATAATGTCCTAGAAAGAGAGGCACGTGGAACAAAGAGACTACTTGAAAGATTAGTTTTTAAACACGAAAAGCGCAACAAAAAAGTCGACAAGGCTCCTGGGGCTTTTTGCAGAAACCAAACTGCGCGCTCTAAAAAATAATAAAAATTACTTCATATAAATGAACTTAGTAGTTGCAACATCAGAATTGCACTTAAAATTACTAATTTCGAAAACCAATATACAATAATGTCAGTATTAATCTGAATTCAAATTCAATATGTCAAGATGTAATCTCAGACAAGCCACTTCAATCAAAATATGATCTCCTTTTTTTCTTCAATTGATCTGACAAACATATAAATTTGTATAAATTTATTTCATATTTAATTGCCCAAGTAAACTGTATTAAGAGTTACTCTGATTACAAGTCTTTTGTTTTCTAACAAACAGCCTATAAATCAAGAATTGAAGAACACAAAACAAATTAGAGATCAGATAAGGGAACAAAATAAGAACTTTGATAACAAGAGACTAGAAGAAAGATGCAGGCAGAAAGCCCATAACCGTAGCAAAGAAAAGGAATTGCACACCAGAAGAAGAAGAAAGGATCTTCATGAAGAAAGAAGAAGGGAATAAAGAGCAAATCAAGAGAAGCGGAGAAATAAAAGTAGTAAACAAAGAGTCAATCCAAACTGGAAAAGAAAAGATGATGGCACGAATAGAAGACTGAGTGTCGAACTATCATTTTTATAATCATTTAAAGACAGATTCAAAGAAATTCCTTCTCACTTAAAATGCTATGCACTCCATCACTGCAAGCGCACAGTTCTTGCAAGTTGCGTCACTTCACCCATATAAACTGATAACCACTCACTTTGCATCGCTGTCACTTTAAGTGACGAAGCGACACTTTTTAGTAACAGTGGTTTTCATCATGATTATAAAAATGTATTAAGTACATCCGTCATTCAATCATCCCATGACCATGTTTAAACTAGCAATGGACTAACCTATAACGAAGTAGATCTAAAACAAGTAGTTTCTGTAAGGTGCAGCAAGTTTGAAGTCCATCACCATAAGTGAATGTTTCATAAGTTGGTGAATGGCAATAATCATCTGTCCTTTTTTCTTTCTCTTTTTGAGTTTTGTGGTTTAGACATCATCCAAAACAGTACTAAGAACACTCTGAAATGGCTCCACCCAACCATAAGAAGGCACTTCAACGTGTTAGTTCGCAAATATATTACTGAACAAGGAAAAAAAATAAAAGGGAGAAGTCTGACCTTTACGGTACTGTCTTCTCCACCAGATACAACCCAGCGGCCATCTGGCGTGAACCTGATGGTGTTGACACCTCTAGTGTGCCCTTTGTATGTGTGAATGCACCCTTTGCGTCTAATATCCCATATCTTTAGATTTGTGTCCAGAGACCCAGATGCAAAGAACTCACCAAAGGGATGGAAGTCCAATGATATACAATTGGATCTATGTCCAGTGAGAGTCCGAACAACTGAGACAGACAGATAGATAAAGAGAGTGAATTTATAAATTTCACAGTAAACAATAAACATTTTCACAAGGAAAAAAGATTATAACAAGCATACTCTTGGCCTCCTCTAAATCCCAAAGCTTGATAGTACCACTTGCTGCTCCTGCAGCTACCAGAACTTCTGAAGAATCAAAGCTAACTGAATCAATTCCGCTTGAATGACCTGACAAACTCTACAGAAGAATACAGATACAAAACCATGTGTAAAAACAAAGGATATCGCCGCTAAAAGTTTGCATCTTAACAAACAAAGAAAATAATAGCGTAAAGGTTAAGCCCCAAACAACAGCCTCAATCATGGAAAATATTTTCCAGAAAGACATTTCTCCCGGTTTCTGAGCCGAGGGCCTCCCGGAAACAGCCTCTCTACCCCTCCGGGGTAGGGATAATGTCTGCGTACACTCTACTCTCCCCAGACCCCACTAGTGGGATTATTACTGGGTTGTTGTTGTTGTTGTAAAGACATTTTCTCCCGCTCTCCAGTACTCTCTAAAAAGGTCATTTTCCTCTTTTAGTTGCCAGAAAAAGACTTAAACATAACAGATTCAGCTGCTTCAAAGTGTAAATTATATTTTATGATTAAGTATTCACCATTTGTACTCATATAGCTTCCTTTTTGGTTAAAGATAAAACACATTATGATCTCAATGCGAATATATACAGAACAAAGGAATTGAAAGTAGAGCTAAAAGAGAAAAAATACTCCAGGAGGTACTAACCAATACGGCATCAGGCTTGCCAATGGACCAGAGGTTAACTTTGTGATCTTCTCCCCCGGTTACAAGAACCCTGGATGATTTCCTCCCTATCTTTAAGCAATTCACACTTAAAGAATGTGCTACAAATTCCTCTAATTACAAAGCATTGTCAAGGTCTGCAAATTATAGCTTCAGTTCTCAAATATACCATTCATTCCCCCCCACCACCACCACCACCCCGTTTCCATAATAACAACAACTAAGCCTCAGTACCAAACAAGTCAGGGTCGACTATACGAATCCTTACTGAACACATTACTCCATTTAAACTCATCCCATGCCAAGATTATGCAAAGAGTTTAAGTTTTATGCACTACTGTGTAAATTTTTCTTTACACCGTCAGGTCACTTAAAAGGTAATTGTAGCTAATTTCAATTAATTAGCACTAACTGGTGACATGTAATAAAGGGTAAGTAATGCTATAACACATTAAATTGCACTCATGATGTAAAAAATTCTACATTATATATACCTTAAAATCTTATGCAAATACTCCCCCTTTTTTACACAATAAACAAAAATCATTAAGAGCCTAATCAAAACTATTTGTCTACCTACTATATCAATCTTCTATATTCATTTAGATCTTTCATTTATTATGAAGAAATTGTGTCCCTATATGATAAATTGCAAGACAAATAACAAAATTAAGAAAATAAAATGAAAATTTAAAACAAAACAAAAAAGGATACGTAGCTTGTAAGCACGTTTAGTGGTTGTCATCGAGAAATCAAAACCAGGCATCAACTTGTTGATTCACAGAGCCAACCGCATTCAATAAACCCCTTTGATTTTCGTCCTTTCAGTTAGAATTTAGAGTCAGTGAAATTCGAAGTGAAATGCATTACGTATATATATTATTGGAGAAATGAGTAGGTTCGGTTGAAAGCTTACAATGCATAAAAGCTGTGAATTTGAGGATTATTCTATGGAGGATAAATTGAAAATTAAAATGGCTTAGAAATTTTAACAATGGCGAAATGCAGAATGAGAAAAAGAAAATTTGAGAAGGTGAAGGAGAAGAAGGAGAAATGGCGCTTTCGAGAAGACAAAGTTAATAAATTAATTTGTAATGTTTTATTTAATCATGGAAATTCAAAATGATTCAGAAAAAATGGAAGTGCAGCCAATCTGAGCCGTTAATCACTGGACGATACCTCATCCAACGGCTGAGATCTGATTGTTATTTTTGTAGAATGACTTTTTAAAATTTTGAACAAAGTAGGTGTTTTATATAATCATTTTTTTTTTACTTTTTAGAAAGGAAAAGGTGAAGTTTAATTATTTAAGGCTTCTACTTTCTTTCTTTCTCAAATTTAAAAAGGGTGTTGTGTATAGTAATGATTAAAGTGTAGTTATCATATATTTAACTCATATGGTTATTTTGTTTCAAATTAAAATTTGTGGTTTATCAACCCTTTATAATTTGAAGTTAGAGAGGGAAGACAAAGGAATAAAGAAAGAGTGAAAGCAATTTGGTGGGAAGACAACTCAAATGGAAATATTGAAAATATTTTAGAGAAATAGTTCCGTAAGGGGTCATTTGATTCGGAATATTATAATTCTGGAATTATAATTCTACATCTTATATGATATACTTAATACTAAGACTTTGCTATAAAATTTATTTTGATATTAATTAATATTCATAACCAAATCTGAAATAAATATAATCCTAAATTTTATACAAAAATTAATACTTTTATCACGATAATCAAAAGACCCACTAGAGCTAAAGTTTTTGTTAGGAGTAGGGCAGTACATTTGGATTTGTCTTTTACTATAATAAGAAAATTATTACCAAAAAATTTTACTTGCACTCAATGTTTACGTCAAACATATGGATGCAAAGACATATTTTTCTCATAGTTATTAACTAAGAATCCTAATCAAACAATAAGAACAACCCACAAATAAATGTTTTGAAAATATATACAAAACAAAAGCCAGAAATATTAAGTAGAAGTGAAATAAAATAATGTGTCATACCTGAGTTATAAAATTGCATTTGTGCATGAACTATCTTTTTTAACTTGCAAAAAAAAAAAAAAAGGTTGGTATTTGTTTCAAAAACTTTTGGATCATTTTCGGCAGTTGATTTTTCTTTTTCTTAGCAAAAAATATTTTTAAAATTGTGTTGTTAGTGTATCTTTTAAATTTGAACCACAGCCTAACCAGTAACCAGAGAAACCAAAGCTAACTTTACCAGAACTAAGCTACCATCATCTCATTAGTTTAACTAAATAACAAAAAAAAAATGGAGCAAAAAGCGAAGAACTTGAACTTCTGTTTTGGTTAGACAAAATTAAATTGATCTACACCTAGTGCGGAAAATAACTTGGTCAATAAAATATATCGATACTTTTTCATTAAGAAGTTTACAAATATTTCTATCAATCTTATAATTTACTTTTTACTTGATAATAAGTAAATTATCTCAATCCCTTGCTACAAGAGAGAAAATGAGATAAACTCATTTTAACATTTTTTGATAACAACTGTCATAAGTTTTGAACATGTAAACTTTCAAGTGTCAAGCCGGATCTGATGTATCATAGGGATTTGCGTGTATGTTCCATATTGGGATTTTCTTTTTGTAATTATTACTATTGCCTTTTGTCTTATTATATTCAATAGTATTTAATTGAGTACAAATGTTATTGTTTTTCAGAAGTAACTGCTAGTATATTACTGAAACAAGAAAATTTAAGTATCTATAGGATCAACGTAGGGCTGTTAAAAATCGAATCGAAATCTATTGGCTTATTGATATTGGATTATCAGAGTAATGGACGGTGAACGGATTGAAATTTTATAATTAACGGTTTGGGGGCGGATTACTCAATTTTCTTATCGGATAAACCATTAACCCGTTAAGAATTTTTATATTTACTTTCCTATGGATTTTGAAGTAGCAAGAACTCCTAAGACTCGATGTCCATTCCAATTTATAACTTTTTCACCCGAATTTTCAATTCTATCCAGCTCATCAAGTCTGTTAGGATGCGTACATGAAGTTTGTTAACAAAATCACCCATAAAAAAGAATTCATTTCAATATTATACCAATTTTTTTTATTTGGTTTATGATGGTAGGTTATAATCTCGTATTTTAGTAGCTTATTGCACTCTAATTTACTATATTTTACTCATGTTGAGCTTTAATTAGTAGTATTTTATACTTATTGTGTGTTTTATGTTGTGTAGACTGATTTTGTAAGTATCAATAATAACCCATATAGAATCGAACTTACGCTGGGTACGAGGTCAGCCTATGATGAAATCCATGTTAATCACTTCCCATTTCCAAGTCGGAATCTCTATAGCCTTCAATAATCCATCGAGTTTATGATGCTCAATCTTAACCTGCTGACAATTAGGGCATTGAGCAACAAACTCTGCTATATCCTTCTTCATTTCGTCCCACCAGTATATTCCCTGATATCATGATACATCTTCGTCGCTCCTGGATGAATAGAATAACGAGAATAGTGAGCTTCTCCGATAACCTAATGGCGCAACCCTGCTACATTAGGAACACATAATCGACCTCGATATCTGAGGACTCCATCTCCTGTAATCTCCAATGGTGTCTTCTCCTTTTGAGGGGTTGTATATATGTAATGAGCTAGCACTTGATCTTCATACTGCGTTCATTCACTTCAGTTACTAGAGAGGATGTTGTCGTGTCCTAAATAGTAACTCTGGTACCACCTGAATCTAATAATCGAACTCCAAGATTAGCTAGCTGATGAATCTCACAAGCTATCTCACTCTTCTCTGGCTGTAAATATGATAAGTTACCCATAGATCTACGGCTGAGGGCGTCGGCTACTACATTCGCCTTTCCTGGATGGTATAAAATATCAACACCGTAGTCTTTTAGTAGCTCCAACCATCGCCTCTGATGTAAATTCAATTCCTTTTGCTTGAATATATACTGAAGGCTCTTATGGTCCGTATAGATATCAACTTGAATGTCATACAAATAGTGCATCCACATCTTTAGTGCATGAATCACCGCGGCTAACTCTAAATCGTGGGTCGGGTAATTCTTCTCGTGGTTTCTTAGTTGTCTAGAAGCATAAGCGATAACCTTACCATGCTGCATCAATACACAACCCAATCCAACGCCCGAAGTGTCACAATAGATAGCATAACCATCGGTCCTTCTGGAAGTGTTAGAACCGGTGCTAAAGTCAATATGTCCTTCAATGCCTGGAAACTCCGCTCACAAGCATCAGTCCACTGAAACTTGGTTGCCTTCTGAGTCAACTTTGTCAATGGTGCTGAAAGGGAAGAAAATCCATCTACAAACCTCCTGTAATAACCTGCCAAACCTAGGAAGCTACGAACCTTTGTCGGTGTCGTGGGTCTAGGCCAAGTCTTCACTGCCTCAATCTTCTGTGTATCGACCCGGATACCCTCACCCGAAATAATATGACCAAGGAAGGCTACAGAATTCAACCAGAATTCATATTTAGAGAATTTTTCGTACAACCTCATTTCTTGTAGATCTCTGAGCACAGTACGCAAATGATATGTATGCTCAACCTATGAACGAGAATAAACCAAAATTTCATCAATAAATACAATCACGAGCAGATCAGAAAGGGCCCGAACACACGGTTCATCAAGTCCATGAATACCGCTGGGGCATTGGTCAAGCCGAACGACATAACACGAAACTCAAAGTGCCCTTATCTGGTCCTGAATGCTGTCTTCAGAATATCTTTCTCTCTAACCCTTACCTGATGGTACCCCGACCTCAAGTCTATCTTCGAGAAATATCTGGCACCCTGCAACTGATCAAATAAATCATCAATCCTCGGGAGCGGGTACTTATTCTTGTTCGTCGCCTTATTCAACTGTCTGTAATCAATACACATCCGCAAGGAACCATCTTTCTTTCTCACAAATAACATAGGTGCTCCCCACGATGATGTAGTGGGTCTGATAAAGCCTTTTTCAAGCAAATACCCCAGTTGTTCTTTCAACTCTCTCAGCTCTGCAGGTGTCATTCTATAAGGAGAAATAGATATCGGCTGAGTATCTGGTAATGTGTCAATAGCAAACTCAATCTCCCGCTCTGGCGGAAGGCTTGGAAGCTCATCAGGAAACTCATTAACCACCGGGATAGATTGAAGGGTCGGTGACTCTGCTTTCACATCCTGTACCCGAACTAAGTGATAAATATATCCCTTTCTGATCATCTTCCTTGCCTTGAGATAGGAAATAAACCTATCTCTCGGTGATACAGTATTACCTTTCCACTCTAGAATTGGCTCCCCTAGAAACTGGAACCGAACCATCTTTGATCTACAATCAACGTTAGCATAACAAGAAGCCAACCAATCCATACCCATTATAACATCAAATTCCACCATATCAAACTCAATCAGGTCTGCTACTGTAGAACGACTATGAACTACTACTATACGGTCTTTATATACCTGTCTAGCTATCACTGGATCCCCAATAGGTGTAGACACCTCAAAAGGTTCAATCAACTCAGGTTCTATCCCAAACTTACTAGCAACCAACGGAGTGACGTACGATAAGGTGGAACATGGATCAATCAATACATATACATCATATGAGGAGACTGATAAGATACATGTAACAACATCGGGTGATGACGCATGATCTTGTCGACCCGCTAAGGCATAGATACAGTTATGAGGACCGCTCGAGCTAGATGCTCTACTTCTGCCTCTACCACGACCAGTTGGTGCCTGTGAACCTTGCATAAGGGGGCGTACTGGTGATAACGAACTGGCTACAGATCTCGCTGGCTGAACTATACCTGCACCACCTCTTGTCGTACAATCTCTCATAACGTGGCCTGGATAACCACAAGTATAACAAACACCTAACCCTACAAGGCACTGCCTGACATGCTGCTTACCACACTGAGCACATCGTGGCAAGGGTGGCCTCATCTGACTTGACTCACCGCTATACTAAGAACTAGAGGCCCTGAAAATCTGACTGGACCCTCAATATGTGGAACGATCAAATCTCCTACCGGC